GAAGTTTTGTTTCCTAACGTTAGGAAACAAAACTTCCAGAACACGGCCACACAGCCCGGAAGACCCACACCAGCCATTCCTATATTTATTTTTAAGTTCAGTATCGAGCTGACACAAAGTTAAAAAATGGCTAAATACAATTTTCCATGATACACAGAGTAACCTGCATGTGTTATCAGGGGCACTTTGTCAGTCTGGACTTAGAACTTTCTGAGGATACACCTTTTTTTAAATTACCTTTTTGTTCCTGCCTGTTTCTCACGCAGATAAGCTTTTAAGACTCCTCCGCTGTCAGTCTTTTCATTTCTTTTTCTTCTGTTGATTAGGCCGGGGAAAGGGGCTATTCAAGTCGAGCCATCCTTTCTACAAGATGCCGCATCGGGATGCTGCTAAAAAGGCAAGAGAAAACCAACCAATCAGATCGTACTGTATTTCCCAAAGGGAAACCTCTGCTGGGGGAAAAGGGAATATTTTCTCAGCCTAATTAAGGGTTAATACCATAGATGTGACCCCTGAAACACGAAGAAAGGGGAAGTCTGGTTGAATAAAACGTTTCAGGTTGCAGCTTGATAGGAAAAGAGCCAGGAAGGATGAGGAGGGACAACCTGTTTGAAATATTTACTGTATGGTGGAATACAACACCAACAATAAGAAAAGAAAGTTCCTTTGATGTGTAAGAAAAATTCCAGGCAGCCAGTGGCGACAATTACATGTCAAAGATTACTTCCTAAAAATCATCCCAAGCACCCAGATTGGCTTTCATTGCACCACGTGATCCATCAGAAGATTATGACTGGTTACTTTTTGCGCGTGCTGTGAAGACTTGCTAAGGGCAAATTGAAGGGGGAGGCGGTTGGCGCGGCTCTTAGAGGAAAAGGCGGCCGGCTCCAAAGGTTCCCGCCTTTAATGACTCCGGAATTGTGTCGGCCGTGGACTTTGATTGGGCTTAGGAATGTGAGGATTTAATTGTAAGTGAGTGACTGACCAAAGATTGGGGCTGTCGCCATAGGAGTGGTTTGCATCTCCAGGAGTTTCATTTTGCATTTTCTCGTGAAAAGGGCTCCATTGCGGGAAAGAACGGTATGCGCTTTTTCAATCCCTTTCTGATTGGGACAGGTGAACTTAAGGGGGTGCCTTCCTTGTCGGAGAGAGGGATCGTTTAGCTGACGCTGACAAAACCGGGATTGCGCGGTTGTTTAATGGTGCCAGTGTTCTGTGGAGCCATCCATAAACTACTTGTACCCATGGTAAACGGAGCAGGGGTCTATTTGATTAACCCACTTTTGGGGATTAGCACAGCACAGTGAACTGTACACTAACCACATGACTGAGCTTGCCCAACATTCTAGGCTAAAAGATGGTTGACTTTTGTGATTCAGTTTGTCATAGGTGTGAAATCCAGGGGCCTTCCTCCGATTTGGGTGACCCTGTTTTGAATAACCCACATTGAATATAGTGCTGCTAAAGCTTCATTTTAGTTATGAATGCTAGGTCATGACTGAAATTATAACTTAGTTCATAGGGATGTGACTCTCAGTAGCAGATAGAATTATTTCACAAGTAATTGCGTTCCAAGCTATTGCTGCAGTCCCAAGCATACTTACAGACATGACTGTGTGCTCGATTGTGTCATTATGTGTAGGATTACATTGTAAAATGTTGCTACTTTTAAAGTAATTCCTGTGAGTTATCACAGGATAGTGACACTTCTATGATGTATGGTGCCCTAATGTATATTTTTTTCTACATCTCCTAGGAATTTCCTTTTCAAAGTGAGTGGTGTTTACATGGACTAACGATTGACTAATATGGCATATAGAAGAGAAGGAAATCAAGAACAGCTTCTCTCTTCCATCATTTCAACTGTGAATTCTCATAAGTCTCCAGCATGTGCCAGACAAGCTCATAGAATATGTATGGTGTCTGATTTTTTTTACCCAAACATGGGGGGAGTGGAAAGCCATATTTACCAGTTGTCACAATGCCTAATTGAAAGAGGACACAAAGTTATTGTAGTCACCCATGCTTATGAAGATCGCAAAGGCATTCGATACCTCACCAATGGACTGAAAGTCTACTATTTACCGTTAAGAGTAATGTACAACCAATCTACAGCCACTACTCTTTTCCACAGTCTGCCTCTGCTCAGGTATATATTTATACGAGAAAGAATCACCATTGTTCATGCACATAGTTCATTTTCTTCTATGGCTCATGATGCACTGTTCCATGCTAAGACAATGCAGCTACGGACAGTTTTTACAGACCATTCACTTTTTGGATTTGCTGATGTCAGTTCAGTGCTTACAAATAAACTCTTGACCGTAACCCTATGTGATACAAACCACATAATATGTGTTTCTTACACAAGCAAAGAGAATACTGTATTAAGAGCAGCACTTAATCCAGAAATAGTTTCTGTCATCCCTAATGCTGTTGATCCTACTGACTTCACTCCAGATGCATCTAGACGTGACAACAACACAATAACTGTTGTTGTGGTTAGCAGGCTTGTATATAGAAAAGGTAATGAGGTTGGAAGGGTAAGATGGATTTAAATGTTTCTTCTTTGAAATGTGTGTGGATCAGAAATCACTTTTACTGGTTTTGCATTTTAAATATAATTAACTTTTTGCATGGCGGCTGATTTTAAGCCTTGAAATGTTTCTGTCTTGTCTGAACTGGATTTTAGACCCTTGGCAGATGTCACATAATTCTGGATTAATATGCAATGTGACATGTATTGAATCTATAAACTATATGAATTGCAACTGACATGAGGGAGGGAGGAGAGAGAGATGGTGTGACTTTGCATGGTCATATACTGTATACCCATAAATTGTAAGCAAAGGCGTGGAATGGAGAATCATAAGAAATACTGGCAGCATCTTGCTGAATTGTAAATCTGCAGTGATAGCTGTAAAATATGAAGAGTGAGGCTGGTTTCTAATCTATTTAGAAATTCTTAGAAATAATAATGTAAATTTCTAGGACATAAGGATGCTCAGACCAAAAACACAATAAGAAATGGATGTTGAACAAAGAACATTTTTTAAAAAAAGGTTGTTTTAGTCAAAGATTTCTAGCAGGCATATTTTTGGGGGTAGGTACAACCAAGTTTTGAATGAGTAAATCTTTTAAATTAACATAGCCTTTGGAGATTTTAGATTAGGACTGAGAAAATTCAAATCTTCACTAAGTAATACAGCTAACTAGATAATCTTGCACCAATGCTTTCCTCAGGTTAACCTTTCCTGCAAGTTTGTGAGTATGAGACTAAAATAGGTGAAGGAGACAGACGTATATAGCTGAGTGCTCTGGAGGAAGGTACACTCTAAATTAGGGTGAACATATTTTTTTGCACTAAGTGCAACACTTGGTCTTTGATGTGCAAGGGGTTACTTTCCAAAAAAACAAGTAGGGCTAGGTCAGAATCCAATTTGATTGAATGTAATAAAAATTTAATTAAAATTATATTAAATTAATTAAATGCAGTTAATGGTTATTCTTTGTATATTAAATTTTCCTCCCTATTGCATTAAAAATTACAGTTTAGTGACAGTGTTCAGGAGGGCTCTGGACAATGCATATAAGGTTGCACATCGTGCTGGACTGGGATTGGCAACATGACATCCCACACAATTAAAAGGTGACCACTGACTTCCAAAATTAAAATGATCTCTTGCATGACATCTCTTGAGAGTTGGGGTATTTTAATGGTTAAATGATAAAACACTATTATTTTTTTTAATATAATGCATGGTGATACTTTTACCTGAAAGAGTTGCTGACCGTTGCTCTAGAGCTTCAGGGTGTATATTCTGATCAAAATGAAATGATGAAGAGTGATACAGAAAATAAGAAGTAGATTACTTTTTATAAGACTAACTGCTACCTACGAATAGGCTATATAGGTAGTTTATACAGAAAGACTAGTGTGTAATAGATGCTGAAAAAAATGAAACTCCACAGAGGTCCCTCAGCAGTATATAAGATCTTTTGGAATTCTGTCTTTGAAGGTCATTTACAACTATGTGATATTAATATAATCTGGGTTTAATAAATCATTAAGGAATCTAACACTTTAATAATTGTACTTTCTTTTTGAAATTCTGAAATACTAACTTCAGTGGTGGAAAGCAGTATATAAGATCTTTTGGAATTCTGTCTTTGAAGGTCATTTACAACTATGTGATATTAATATAATCTGGGTTTAATAAATCATTAAGGAATCTAACACTTTAATAATTGTACTTTCTTTTTGAAATTCTGAAATACTAACTTCAGTGGTGGAAAGCAGTATATAAGATCTTTTGGAATTCTGTCTTTGAAGGTCATTTACAACTATGTGATATTAATATAATCTGGGTTTAATAAATCATTAAGGAATCTAACACTTTAATAATTGTACTTTCTTTTTGAAATTCTGAAATACTAACTTCAGTGGTGGAAAGCAGTATATAAGATCTTTTGGAATTCTGTCTTTGAAGGTCATTTACAACTATGTGATATTAATATATGAAAGATGACTGTTTAATAATCATCTTTATATAAAACTGAATCTAAATGTTTTGCCTTTAGGTATAGATTTACTTAGTGGTATAATTCCTGAGCTCTGTCAGAAGTACCCTGATTTACATTTCTTAGTTGGAGGAGAAGGACCAAAAAGAATTGTATTAGAAGAAGTACGGGAAAGATATCAGCTACATGAGAGGTATGTATCTTGTATTTTATTTTAATATAGCTATATTAATTGAAGGAGTAGGATGATGATTTATGTAATGGATAATATTGTTTTGTTTATACATGCATATCTATCATGTTATTCCATTTGAAAAGGACAGAAAATGTGTAAGAAATAGTAAGTAAAAAAACTTAAGGCATGAGAAAAGAAAATAAGTTATGGCTAAATCTAGTTTACACCAGCTGTATTCAGTGTCCCTCTGCATACCTTTCTGTGATTTCATAGCTTGGAAATATATTATTTCCTTTATATATACAGTGGGGCAAAAGAGTATTTAGTCAGCCACCAATTGTGCAAGTTCTCCCACTTAAAAAGATGAGAGAGGCCTGTAATGTGACCAAATACTTATTTTCCACCATGATTTGCAAATAAATTCTTTAAAAATCAGACAATGTGATTTTCTGGATTTTTTCCCCCATTTTGTCTCTCATAGTTGAGGTATACCTATGATGAAAATTGTGACCAAATACTTATTTTCCACCATGATTTGCAAATAAATTCTTTAAAAATCAGACAATGTGATTTTCTGGATTTTTTCCCCCATTTTGTCTCTCATAGTTGAGGTATACCTATGATGAAAATTGTGACCAAATACTTATTTTCCACCATGATTTGCAAATAAATTCTTTAAAAATCAGACAATGTGATTTTCTGGATTTTTTCCCCCATTTTGTCTCTCATAGTTGAGGTATACCTATGATGAAAATTGTGACCAAATACTTATTTTCCACCATGATTTGCAAATAAATTCTTTAAAAATCAGACAATGTGATTTTCTGGATTTTTTCCCCCATTTTGTCTCTCATAGTTGAGGTATACCTATGATGAAAATTGTGACCAAATACTTATTTTCCACCATGATTTGCAAATAAATTCTTTAAAAATCAGACAATGTGATTTTCTGGATTTTTTCCCCCATTTTGTCTCTCATAGTTGAGGTATACCTATGATGAAAATTTTAAGGTTGTGGACAGGGGTCTTTTATACTGATAACAAGGTCAAACAGGTGCCATTACTACAGGTAATGAGTGGAGGACAGAGGAGCCTCTTAAAGAAGTAGTTACAGGTCTGTGAGAGCCAGACATCTTGCTTGTTTGTAGGTGACCAAATACTTATTTTCCACCATGATTTGCAAATAAATTCTTTAAAAATCAGACAATGTGATTTTCTGGATTTTTTCCCCCATTTTGTCTCTCATAGTTGAGGTATACCTATGATGAAAATTACAGGCCTCTCTCATCTTTTTAAGTGGGAGAACTTGCACAATTGGTGGCTGACTAAATACTTTTTTGCCCCACTGTATCATGCCAAGTTTTTTTTTCTTAGATCATTATATATTCTTCCTTATCTCCATGTTCAGGAGGACATCTCTTAAATATTTTCCAATATGGAAATGCATATGGATACAACTCTAATACTGAAATAACTTTATGAATAACTCAGAAATAGCAACTATAAAGCATTAACAGAAATTATCTTAAATGATAAAATTTGAAAGATATTTCTCTTGATCATCCTTTCTAGTATTTATCACTTAGAAATATATGAAATGTTATTGGTGAAAATATCAAAAGAGCTGCAGTGCCATATGTAGATAATCTTTGTATAATCTTAGAACTCACTTGCAAATCACTTTGTTTCTCTATACTTGACTATTGAACAGTTGCAGCATAGCTGAACCAATGTTTAGCACTTTAGGCTTCTCTGAGGACGAGAGTTGAAAGAATTAAAAATTGATTTAATGAGCTGCATTCCTTATAAAATGTGACTGAATGTGCAAACCTTTGTAAAGCATTATGTAACCTGTTTTGCACTTTGTGTAATCCAACTAAAATTAAAGACTTTGAAAATTCATTGTTATTGATAACATAAGTACCTTATTTATAATCCAGTTCTACGGAATTCAGGAATAATTGCAACTGTTTATCTTGGACTGTGATTTTGTCCATTGATAAAAATACTTTTATCAACATTACCCTTTTTTTACTTGTTTCCCTTAACTGTATACAGAGTCCGTCTTCTAGGAGCCTTAGAACATCAGGAAGTTAGAAATGTCTTGGTTCAAGGACATATTTTTCTTAACACCTCTCTCACAGAAGCATTTTGTATGGCAATTGTGGAAGCTGCCAGTTGTGGTTTACAGGTAAAACCTTTCCTTATTCAAAGAGATCAAATGGACCATTTTCTTAAGGATATAATATTAAAAACTACAGTAATAAACACAACATCCAAAATCTCGCGCACCCCCTTGCACCCTCGTTCACCCTCCCTGCATCCCTGCACACACCCTCATTCCGCCACCCAGCAGCAGCCACTTACCTGCCTGCTGGCCTGGGACTTGCAACTTCCTACTGGCTTCCCCACTGACTTTGGTTGTGGAAGCCGGCCGGAAGTTGCCTCATTTAACAATCCTCGCTTAACGATGGCAACTGAGGCTGCAGGGATTGCAGTCGCTAAGGAATGCAGTTGTGCTTTATGGCACATTGCTAAGCAATGGAAATTCCAGTCCCAATTGTCATCGTAAGTCGAGGACTACCTATATAATGTACAAATGGAACAATGGGAAAATATGTGGTTGAAAGGATTGAAATTTACATTTTGTTATAATCTTAAAGAGAATTTTTATAAAATGATGTACTATTATATGACACCAGAAAAATCATCTAAAATCTATAAAAGTACTTCAAATTTATATTTGGAAATGTGAATAACAAGAGGGGTCATTTTATCATGCTTGGTGAACATGTGAAAAAGCTAGAAAATTTTGGGCTCAAATACATACAGTGATTCAGAGGATTTTAAAGATTAACATTCAATTGAAACCAGAACTTTTCTTCCTGGGACTGATGGATAAACATTTAGAAAAGAGCCATGGAACACTCTTTTTATATATGATAACTGCAGCAAGATTATTGTATGCACAAAGATGGAAAGATTTGGCAATACCTACAATGGAAGAATGGTTGGTGAAGATGACAGAATTTGCCGAAATGGCTAAATTGACTTGTTTGATTACAGAAAAGACAGTATGTATATTTATTGGTGACTGGAAACCCCTTATGGAATTTTTGCATAAAAATTAAAAAAATAAACTTGTGATTTATGGCTTTGATGATTAGACAGGATAGATTATAGAAAGAAGAGAATCATGATGTAACTTTAGAGACAGAGATTAAAATATAATTGTACTTATAACTGCTGTGAAGAAGATCGGAAGCTACTTCTTTATATTTTTTTTCTACTTTTCTTCTACTTTTTTGTTTTTGCACCCTTAGCTTTTTCTTTCATTTCTCCCTTTCTCTTTCTTCTCTTTTGTTCTATTTTAGTTTGTATTAGTTATTATTGTTAAAACTTTCAATAAAAATTATATAAAAAAATAATATGGGAACACATAATGGTTATATCCTTTCCCATTTGAAGGAAAGTGTATGTGTGTCTTTGAATCAGTGTTGACTCCTGGCAACTGCCTGGACTAGTCCCTCCACTTTTCTTGGCAAGGTTTTTCAGAAGTGGTTTGCCATTGCCTGCTTCCTAGGGCTTTAAGAGAGTGACTGGCCCAAGGTCAACCAGCTGGCTTTGTACCTAAGGTGGGTCTGGAACTCACAGTCTCCCATTTTCTAGCCTAGTGCCTTAATCATTACACCAAACTGGCTCTATTTCAAGGAACAGTCATGGTTTTTCTATTTTGGAGTGGCAGGACAATCTACACACACGTATTTAATGCAGGTGCCCATCATAAAACATTTTTGGAGGCAAGGGACTTTTGAATGACTGAAGGTAGTGAATATTTTACAAAATAAGAGTGGAAAGATAAGAGCAATGATAAGCTTAGCAATCAAAAGAGAATATAGCAGGCTAAGAATGAATGTGATATAGTCAGAACAACAGTAATGTGAAGTATTTTAACAAAATAATACTGGACAGAATTGTAGAGACAAAGATCCCTACAAACAAAATACTGAAATAGCGTGGGCTATAGATGGGAAATAGTTCAGAATTTTAATGTTTAATTTCTCAGTGTGCACTAATTCCATTACTCAATACTTTAATGAGGAAGAAAGGTATAGAAGTAAAATAATGGTTTTGTGAGTATAGTAAAAAAAACTTGTTTAGTATCCAGAAAAAGAGCAGACCTTCATTTTTTTTGTTTAAGTGAAACATGAACTATTATATACATTAGTATTTATATTTTTGAAATATAAATTGTCTAGTAAAGCATAATAATTTCTCTGTTGTTGCAGGTGGTGAGTACAAGAGTTGGTGGGATTCCTGAGGTGCTTCCAGATGATTTTATAATCTTGTGTGAACCTTCAGTGAAATCTCTCTGTAGTGGATTGGAAAAAGCTATTAGCCAACTGAAGTCAGGATCATTGCTGTCTCCAGAATTTATGCATGACAAAGTTAGAACATTCTATACTTGGAGAAATGTTGCAAAAAGAACTGAAAAAGTAGGTGAACTTCCTTGTTTGGAAACTCTTCAAAGTGGAAGGGGAATAGCTTTATAAATATATTGCTTAGTTTATAGAATACTTTTGATTACATAATTATTTTCAAAAAATCATTATTTTGATACTATAATGGCAGCAGTCATTAAAATACATTCACCTGAGAACATCTTCAAGTTTTCTAATAGTTTATCTCATTGTGGAAATAAAATTACAGTGGGGCAAAAAAGTATTTAGTCAGCCACCAATTGTGCAAGTTCTCCCACTTAAAAAGATGAGAGAGGCCTGTAATTTTCATCATAGGTATACCTCAACTATGAGAGACAAAATGGGGGAAAAAAGATGAACTTTTGATATTGACCAAATACTTATTTTCCACCATGATTTGCAAATAAATTCTTGATGAACTTTTGATATTGACCAAATACTTATTTTCCACCATGATTTGCAAATAAATTCTTGATGAACTTTTGATATTGACCAAATACTTATTTTCCACCATGATTTGCAAATAAATTCTTGATGAACTTTTGATATTGACCAAATACTTATTTTCCACCATGATTTGCAAATAAATTCTTGATGAACTTTTGATATTGACCAAATACTTATTTTCCACCATGATTTGCAAATAAATTCTTGATGAACTTTTGATATTGACCAAATACTTATTTTCCACCATGATTTGCAAATAAATTCTTGATGAACTTTTGATATTGACCAAATACTTATTTTCCACCATGATTTGCAAATAAATTCTTGATGAACTTTTGATATTGACCAAATACTTATTTTCCACCATGATTTGCAAATAAATTCTTGATGAACTTTTGATATTGACCAAATACTTATTTTCCACCATGATTTGCAAATAAATTCTTGATGAACTTTTGATATTGACCAAATACTTATTTTCCACCATGATTTGCAAATAAATTCTTTAAAAATCAGACAATGGGTTTTTCTGGATTTTTTCCCCCATTTTGTCTCTCATAGTTGAGGTATACCTATGATGAAAATTACAGGCCTCTCTCATCTTTTTAAGTGGGAGAACTTGCACAATTGGTGGCTGACTAAATACTTTTTTGCCCCACTAAATATTGATACCTTTATGCCCTTAACCTGTAGCCAGCTAGTATCTTACATACAGGGCATTTGGCATGCCAGAATAAGTATGGGCAAGGGACTTACCTATGAGGGCTGCACTAGTTCACATGGTGAATTGCTGCCAACAGCAGTTTGCTGATCCCTTCATACCCATCTGATATTCCAGCCTCGTTTCTATGGGCTAGCTGTCCAGTATATCTTGTTTCTTTTAAAAGATGCCTGGTGGCCTATTAGGATTAGAGCTACTGCATATGGTAGGAGAAGTTTCTTCCTGTGATGGACAGCATGAGCGGAAAAGATTCTGGAATGGAGCTTCAAGGTTGTCAGGAAGGGGGAGAGACATTCCAGGGCAAACACCTCCTCAGCCCACAATAAGACTGTGGGAAAATGAAGAGGAGGAGGCTGGCTCCTCCCTAGCGCCTCGCGTAATATATTCTATAGTAGCTGTAGATAAGTTTAGTCTGGCGAGATTCTGTCTATTAGGTACAAGCTAATAAAGTATCTGAACTGTA